TAAATCATGACCTGGAACTGGCTGACCATTTCAGCCCGCTGAGCCTCCAGGTGCCGGTACCTGGCCTTGCACTCCCGCAGGTCTTCCCTCTGCTTGGAAAGCCTATGCTCCTAGTCCTCAGTGAGGTGCTTCTGCTGAGCCTCCTTCTTGGTCAGATCCAATTTGAACTGAGCTGTTTTGCCAACTCTTTCTCATGGTGGCTGCTTAGCTCCAACAACTGCTTCCTGTTGGGGCCCTAAGGAGCCTGGGCGGGCAGGCGAGGAGTGGCTGGGAGGGGAGGGGCGAGTAGAAGCTGGTGAGGCACCTCTCGATGCAAGTGACACCGAATTGGCCATGCCCACCCAGTCACATGACCACCTAGCCACGCCCACCCAGCCGGTCATTAGGCAGATCATATTAGTGGTCCGCGGGATTTTAAATTATGAATTTAGTGGTCCTTGAGGTCCGAAAGGTTGAAGACCCCTGTTCTATAAAACATGTTTCCACGTTGGACAGCCCTAACTATAAGCTTAACAATTCTAAATATATGTTTGTGCCATGAAAAAAATAGGATAATTTTGTTGGGGTCCTTGAATATGGTTCTGGAAAGTCAGGTTTATAGATACTGAGCCCTTGCTGAGGCATACAATTGATAATGTGTTCTATTTCTGAAGTGTGACAAGCACACGTTTCCTCAAAATATGGCATTTGATGGAATTATCCGTATTTGATCATCGTATCTAGCTGCTCCCTTGGAAGTTGTACTAGTAGAGCTATTATTAATTTTTTTCACTTTATATTCTTGCATTAAAGCAAGAATATTGCTTTTGCTGCCACTTTTGATGGTAGGTAGACTCTATTGCTCAATCCCAGCTAGACATCTTGGATTCTTCTATGGACAGCTGTCATTGTTATCTCCAGGGTCCTTTAAAAATAGTTTCTTGGTGTCAATTTAGAAAAGAATTATTCAGACGACAAGATAATTTTCTCTGCCTTTTCTCTATTATGTGTCTCATGCTTTGTCCTCTTTGCCAATTTTTTTTTGGGGGGAACGAAGTGGGAAAGTAGCACAAGGACAACTCAATCAGAGTTGCTAATTTTTCTCCCTTTACCTTTTCTGTCACCTACAATCACATCATGGATTAATAGATTAAAAGGTAAAAATGCCTCAGGTTGTGTTCAGCTCCTGAATGAATACAGTTTTGTTGACAATGATACACAAGTACAGTAGTTCGTATCTGCCTTCTGGGACTTTCTTTTAACTTTCCACCCAAGCTTAAAACCAGAGTATTCTCTAGCAATTTCCCATCCAAGCATCAACTAGATCCGATCTTGTTTAGTTTCTGAGAAGGTCAACCACGCTCCACAACCTGATTTTCTATTTAACTTGCTCATGAATGTTAATGAGGAATTAACTTTAGTAAGAAACAGCAACGGTCTTTTAAAAAAAACAATTTACTGTAAATTCTATGACTGGAACTATTTACAGCCAGTCCTATAGATAGTATATAAATCCTTCATCTATTTGGTTTCTATAAATAAGAAATCTCAACTATACTTTCTCTCTTCAAGCTACCCCGTTAAGTTGAATTGGTTTCCAGCCAACTTGCCACGTATGAAAAAAAAATTTAGTTGGCTATTAAAATCTACCAGTTATTTTTTTTTCAGCAAGGAAATTTTATATTTTTAAAGCTAAAACTAAATAGAGATTTTTGAAATGTCCATATGTCCACAAAGAACTTGTAATTATATTAGTTGTAAATGGAAAGTTGCACTAAGCAATATTTACTTAAAATTATTACGCCGTACATTTCATATCTAATTGCAATTATTTGTAAATGGTTACTTTGTAAATCTTGAAAACTTTTTGCTGAGTTATTTTGAGTTTTTTTAATCATTTAGACCAGGGGTCCCCAATCTCTATGTTGCGGCCCATCAGTAGGCTGTGAGTTGTTACAATTGGGCTGTGGACACATTTGCAAGTGTCCATGTATGCACGCATGCTTGATTTGCATGAACAGGCACGTGTGCACACCTCATGCAAATGATGCTGCGCATGTGCGCACTTGCTGGCTGCTCGCACAAAACCATCCTCTGCAAAGCCAGAAAAGTTGGGTAACTGGTTTAGATGCTTTTGAAGTTCAATACAATGTAATAAAATCATTTTGGCGTGAAAGGTAGATGTATCATATAAAACTGTCTATTAATTTGGCACCTTTGGAGTGGAAGTTGCAAATACATCCATGAAAACGGACTCTTATCAGTTTTCCTTTTCATCACTTGATAGCAGGATCATATATAAAATATTAGTCATAACAGAATAATTATGTTAAGAGATGGAATGAAATTAAGGAGGACATGTTAAAATGGGAGAAATTGCAGTTCAATGGGAAGAATTTCTATGCTAAAAATGAATGTTTTGCCAAGGGTGATGTTTGTGTTTCAAACAATACCCACTTGGATAACTGATGTACCATTTAAATAATGGCAGAAAGATATATCTGAGTTTGTATGGAAAGGGAGAAAGCCAAGATAATTATAAAATACCTCAAGAATCAAAGGAATGATGAGGACTATGACTGTGTAATTTGAAATTGTATTTTGCAGCCTGCTGCTTAGTTTGGGTGAATGAGTGGGTTTTATTGAGTAAAGAATTTTAGCATGCTCTGAGACTGAGGTAACATAGTTTTCTATGATACAATAAAGTTAAATTTAATGTAGATTTTAAGAATAATTATATTAGAAGTGCCATATTGAGATTATGGAACAAATATAATTTCAGATGGTGCCTGAAAATGGCTGAAAACTATTAAGGCCTTTATGGGTCTTAGCATAAGAAACATTTACAGGTAAGAAACAGTATGTAAAGAAAAATGGTTAACTCATCTAGTAGACTTGTTAGAATAAGAATACAGAGAATATAAGAGGAAATCTAAAGAGCAATTGGTTGCAGAGGATTTAGTTTTTAATAGTTTTATTTGCACAATTCAAAAAGAAAGATTTGAAGGTAGATAATAGGGCATTTGGAATTGAGCAGTAGAAGACAGAGTTTGAAATTGAAGTATGTGCACCTGGTGAACATGTAATTGTTAAAATGTATAAACCTTTATTGAAATTTGAAATGGATGAACAAGAAAAGACAATATGATAAAATGGACTAAGAACTTTGAGCACAATATATTGATGAAACAGTGGACAAAAAAAACATATTATAATATAATATAGATTTTTCATACAATGAAGTACCATTGGTATATGACTTCAGAAAATTTGTCTAGAATGTATAAAGAGACTTCAAATTAATGCTGGAAGGTTGGACAACATAAAGGATCATTTTATCATATCTGATGGGCTTGTAGAAAGCCAGAGATTTCTGAGTTCAAATACATACAAGAAGTTAAAATATCAACATTGGAACCAGAACTTTTCTTGCTGGGATTAATGAACAGCTAATTAGAATACAGTCATGGACATTTTTATAAATGATTACTGCTGCAAGATTATTATATATGCAAAGATTAAAATAATTTCAAAAACCCTTAATGGAGAAATGGTTGGTGAAGATGACAAAACTAGCAGAGATGGCAAAATTAATTTGTTTGATTAAAGAAAGATCAAAAACTACATTTATCAATGACTGGAAACCCCTTATGGACTTTATTAAAGTAGAGAAAAATGAACATGTGATTTATGGGTTTGAAAATTAGAAAGGATAGCTTTAGGAAAGAAGGAAATTATGATGAAACTTTAGAGACAGAGGGGACAAAACATAAATATATAACTGCTGTCCAGAAGATCAGAAGCCATTTCTTTATAATATTTATTTTCCTTTTTTCTTTTTCCTGTCTATTATTTTTCTTTATTATCTTTATTTTCTTGTATGATTTTTAGTTTGTTAAAAATTTCTTCAGTAAAAAATTAAGGGGTATGTGTATCATAGATGAAGTTGGATAATGATTATGCAATCTCTGAAATGCAATGACATAGGAACTGAAAGACACAAAAATGAATTCAAGATCTGTCTTGAGGGTTAGCAAAGAATGGCAGGCATATTTTGATGTAAAAATGAAGTCTGGTCAATGTATTTGAAAAAAATGCTTTAAATGTGCCCAAGCACAAATAAATACCTTCACATTATTAAAGCAGTTACATCTTTCAAAGAACTGTCCTCACTTTCTTCAATAGAGGTGTTACCTTGCATGCACTCCAGACAGCTGGTGACAGTTCTGGAAGCAGAGATATGACCCCTACAAAAGATGCACATTTAATTATATACAGAAAATACTTTGTTCACAATGATGCATATTGCAAAACGCCTCTTTTGAATGCTTTACACAGCCCTGAGAATATTAACCATATACTGGAAGGATGTAAAAAGAAAATGTAATTATGTAAGAAATACATGAAGAATGTATAAAGAAATATACATATCTTTATATAAGAAAGACCCAAATGGGCCATCTTTGAACATAAGTTTGTACATGCAAGGATAAGACAAGGTTGAGGTAAGAATCTCTGTATTTGCTTCAGTTTCTTTCCCACATGTGGATTCTAGGAACTTATTAAAAGCCATAATCAGTAGAAAGAGAATATGGGGTCTAGATGAGAATGCAGACTCTTTAACCATTGTTCTATTATCTGAATAAAATTATTTTAAGAACAAGAATAATTTTTTTCTTCCTAACACATTGAGGAGGCGACATTTAGGATTCCTCTTCAAGTGCACAACCACTAACATGAGACCAGAAATCTGTAGATCAGGGGTGTAAAACTTTGGCAAGTTTAAGAACTCTGAACTTCAACTCCCTGAATTCCTCAGCCTTCTATGCTTTCTGAGGAATTATGGGAGTTGAAGTCCACAAGTCTTAAAGTTAACAAGGTTGGAAACCCCTGGTGTAGATGAAGATAGTTGATTGTGAAAAACTAGTATTAATAAACAACTGCCCCAAAAACCTAGTGTCACTCTACGAAGGAGGCAAGTATTGCAATGATTAATTTGTTTCATTTTCCTTCTTTGACAGGATCAGAAGACAGTGTGGCCCCTATCCCAATACCCAGGGGAGTTCCTGCACCCTGTGGTTTATGCATGTACTGCGGTCATGTTATTGTGCCTCTTTGCTTCAATTATCACCTATATTGTTCATCACGGGTAAGAAGAGAGGTGCTGATTATTAACATTAACATTAAGTGAATTCACCCACTTCTTTTTTTTTTCTTTTGCAACATATAGAGGTGTGTTAAATATTATACTTCTTTCCCCTTACTCCTCTTATTTTTTGGAAGAGATTTGGTAAAAGGGATTTCATAACTATATGCAATTTTCCCATTCATCACTTTCATAAAGAAATCCCTTAATCCAGTGCAGAAGAAGTATGTGCATGGGAAAGACTGAGGACATCAAGGCACTTTGAGTGCTATTTAGAGCATCCAAAGTTTGTTTTCACTTGGATGTTCTTTTTCTTCCTCTCTCCCTTACACACACACGCACAAACAGAAATACTCAGAGATTGGGAAGGAGGGTAGAATGATAGCTGATTCCACCCTCCATTATTGCAAATGCTCTGACCGTTTGGAAAAATGTTTTGCTGTTGCAAATGGAGCTGCATTCACCAGTTACATTCGTCAAATAATTATATCTTTAGTTTCTTCTCCAGTTTGACAGGGCTCAGTGATGGTTTATATAAATAAATTAATATTTCTATTCTGCTTATCTGCCTCTTCTATCAAAGAAAGAAAAGATGGGAAAGATTTCCATAGGTTTTTCTTGGGTATACTTGGATATGAGGTACTTTCACTGTATCTGGATTTTTTTTATTATTCTAAACAATCTAAAAAGTAGCAACAATCATTTCTTTTACTCTTCTTTCTCTCCAAAATTCCATCCCTAGGCCACTTTCTTTTCAAAAGAAAGTGGTGCAAGGAGTAGCTGTGATAGTTAGAAGAAGAGAAGTAAAGGGTTAACTTTTTTTGTCTCTTTTCTCTGCTAGCAACATCTCTTGTATCCAATCACTTGCATTTAGGTTTACAATTATCAAAACCCAGGCCTGATTTGCTATAAGACATGATTGGTGGGATTCATGCATAAGACAAAGTATGGTTCAGAGGTTAGAGTAGCTTAGCTAAGTAGATTAAGACAAACTGAACAGATCAAATGGTGGTTTAGCACAATATATGAATCTGATCTGCTACAGAAATATTTTTTTCTATTGCAAATAAGGATAATGTTATGAAGAGCTCTCATTTATGATTTCCTATATAATTTTTCTCAGATACGCAGACTCTCCATCACATACAAGAATGCCTGAATTTTATACTGTAGTTGCACATGAATAAAATATAATTTCATGTGATCAAGTAATTGGCATTGTGACTGAGCTACGCAAATCTGAAGGAGAAGAAACTGATGCTTGATGTATCTGATTTTATCTGCACTTTATCAGTTGCACACTCTTCTCATGCATGAAAGCCCATATATACCTTGCATTTTCTCTAGCTATAAATCTGTTTATTATGTATTTCCTCCAGTGGTTTTTGGCTTGAATAACATTCAGTTCATACATTACCCTGATGGACTGTGAGCAATACCAACCACTCTTTTCATTTCTCTTATGCCAACATGATCTGCAAAATATCCTTCTTTCATCTATTGTTTAGTCCAGACAACACTGCAATCATCCCTCCCCAACCTGGCACATTCCATATCTATTAGATTGTAATTCACATAATCTTCAGAAGGTGCACAGCCTTTCCCCACCTGGAAGACACAGATTGGAGAAGGCTGTTATAAAGATTCATCCATTTGGAATTGAGAATAGCTTCAAGTTCAGAACTGCTTAGACAGCCCCCTGTCTGGAGATCCTTGAAGGAAAAGTAGGCAGACAGCCGTGTTACTCTATGGGAGCCACAATTCAGGAGAAGCCTGATAGCACTTCGTCAAACTAACAATTTTTATTTCTGCCTTTTAATAAAACGTTTCAGTCTGAAATATGCTTTCAGATACCTTCGGATTTTTGGAGGAAGGGTGGATCCAAAATGTACTACAGAAATAAATACCGTATAGACTTTCGTGTTAATTAAGCTTCGTGTAGAAATTACTTTTCTTTCATGTAGAAATTACTAGAGAATACAATGGTTATTCTCTAGACAGTGTATTTTTCCAAATGCTCATTTGCATAACAACCTCTTAAAAGTTGCTTCAAGCTCTGGTTTGTTTACTCGTTGAAAAGACTAATGGTATGCTAAAATAACAAAGGCAAAGAACATGAATGCACCGATCAACTAGTTCTTGAAGTCCCTAGTTAAACAAATGATTTACCCTAATTTGCATTGGAGGCATGATCAGACAGGTAAGTTGCACAGTTTTAACAAATGTCCAGAGGTCAATATAGGGAAGAGTCAGAATAGTAAATATAGTAATCGTAACAACTGTAATAACAACAAAAATTGGGATTCTGCAATTCTAGAATACTTTCTTTAGAGAAATAATTCTGCAATAACTGCAATTCTGATTCAGCTCTTTCTGAAACAAGTCGAGCACTAAGGATTCTGAGTTTGAGTCCGTGGCTATATGTTCATTGTTCACAAATCTGTGATGTTATTTGTAAATAAATATGTAACTTTGGATTTTTCTTGTTTGTTTGTTAACTTTAAATAGCACAATTCGAATCAGCAGAAAAGGTTGGCACATGCTTCTCAACTTCTGTTTCCATACTGCTCTCACTTTTGCTGTTTTTGCTGGTGGAATAAATCGTATAAAATATCCAATTATATGTCAAGCGGTGAGTGTACACATTACTGTACCATTACCAATATATTATATGATAATGAAACTAAGCTGTGAACTTGCACATGTTGGTGACCTTAACATTCTTCCTTTGGATGGATGAATCTTATTTTCAAAATTAAAAAAAACTGAATAGACTGTAGTCAGGAGCTTCTTGTAGGCATGGGAAACTTTAGCAGCTCAGTCTGAACCATTTTTACTTGCAGATAAATCATATTATTTCACTGGGACTTTTATGTACAAATATAGTTCAGCTAGTATCTCAAGTCTACTTATTAATTTTCTTTCTATTGCTACATTATTTTATATAAGTTATTCTCCTTTCTTTCAAGTGATATTCTTGAGTATTTCTAAGCCTTTTTTGTGTATGTTGTTAGCATAACTTATATGCAGATAAGAAAATGTTTGGCTTTCATTTAATGCAAGGCAATGGGTTGTTTATCTTCTTTTTAAAAATAAACACTCTTGAATTTAATGAAGGAGCAGAATGAAAGCTTTGCTGTTGGCTTTCATGGGAATTTTTCAAGATTGCCGCTTTCTTTCTCTCTTAGTAAACTCAAATGAGGATATAATTGAGTTAGAGTTGAAAACAGTTTTGTTTGTCCAAACAGTATCATACTTCTGGGGGACAGGGCACAAAATCTTGCATTGTTTTTAACAGGTTGCTATGGCCAAAACTTTGAACTTCAAATCACTTTGAAGCATTAGGATGCAGAAAATAAAACAGTGTGCCCTTGCCTCCCAGCAAAGCATTTGCAACTTGATGAGCAACCCTGAGTAAAAGCAGAACCACATCTTCTATACCATTGACCTGCTATTTTTAAAAGACAAGACAAAGAACAAGGCAGACAGAGTGTAAATGACAGCATAATATTGGAGTGTTTTAGGTAAACCTATCTAGAAAACTTCATTATTTACTCCTTCCTATTAGGTCAGTACAGCAGCTATACTAACTTTAAGATATGATCAATGAATGTGTGTGTGTCAGGGGTGGGTTCTAAATTTTTTTACTACCGGTTCTGTGGGGGTGGCTTATTTCGTGGGTATGGCTTGGAGGTCATGTGACTAGGTGGGTGTGGCTAGCTGGTCAGACTCATTTCTGGAAGGTCCTCGCACTTACGACAGTCCTCGCACTTACGACTCAATTCATTTGTTTGCTTTTAACACTGATCAGCTGTAGGACGGCCCTTTGAAGCCCCGCGGCAAGAGTTTAAACAGGTTTTTTCCCTCTAGTCATCAGCTGGGACTCAGGAGGCAGCAATAGATTGGGGGTGGGACCAAATAAAAGGTAAGAATAAGATTGGGTGGGAGGGTGGGGGGGGGAGAACCGGTTCGGTGATGTCATATCGTCACCGCTACCGGCTCAGCCGAACCGGACCGGACCGGGAGGAACCCACCACTTGTGTGTGTATACATATACCTACGCATGCACACATACATACATACACATATATGTGAATATATACATTTATAATATATATGTGAATATATACATTTATAAGGTTCCTGACTGGTTCTTTCCCCATTGCCACTTGGGGTCAATTCAGCTTGCTGGGAATGTTTTTTACAAGGGCATTTGAAGCAGTTCACCTGTATTGAGTGGAGGCGGGAGGGACATCTCATAGCTCACTATGTAGCTCACATAGTAAGTTTTACTACCATAAAACAAAGAAAAGAGTAATTGAAATGACCAAAGTTACAGCACCTTCTTATTTAGAAAGTTTAATGCATCAAAACTATTTTTATTATTTGACTCAAGATATCATGATATAATTAGAGATTCATAAAATTATGCGAAGTGTTAAAATTGATGGAGATTTTTTTTTGTCACAGTGATACTGACAGGAAATAGATTATGACTGAGTTGGCACAATATTGAATATTGCAATATTGAATTTATTATTAGTGTGAGTTTCACTAGCTAATGCTTCCTCCATGAATTTAGTATTTAATGTTTAAACCATCTACAAGTCATGTTGATCCTGGAATTGACTGTAAACCTTGCTGGTAAAATGCCCACGAAATGTCAGTTTGTGTAAAACAAAATTGAGAAAAATTTTGCTTGTGTCAGATTTTAGGCTTCCTAATAGAATCAGGCTGCAAAATGTGGAATACATCCAATGGATGGATCTTTTTGTTGATCCAGTAGGTCTCTTTTCATGTATTTATGTTGAAAATAATTATTAGGAAAACTAATAATGGTGTGGATCTCATTAACTCATCTAATTTATGACATTTATAACTTGGCATAATTTCACTATTAAGCAACAAGAATGTGTTTTTCTTCATTTATTAATTGAAAAAATACAGCTAGAAAACGACTGGCTCAGATGTTTAAAGACTATAGACAAATTACAACTGAAAGCTGGGATATACTATGCTCTTTAGAATGTTTCAAGTTCAGAAAGAAGGAAAGTAAGAATATATACGGCGGGGGGGGAATGGATACAAAGGGATTTTCTTGGTCTTCATATTATTAATAACTAGAGCTGAGTTTGTTCATTATGGCTAGGTGCAGAGAAATTTGAGATAAAAGAAGAAAGCTGATAATGTGCCATTCATATCCATATGGGTGAGCAATAGATTACTTCTGAGAAATCTCAGCTCCAAAGGCTTACTTTATCCCTTAGGTTTCCTGCTGAAAGTAAAGCAAAAAATAAGCAGAAATGTTAGTGTATGGGTTGAACATAATTTTAAGAAAACAACAGAATCCAGAAAAATACCCCAGTTCTATCATTCTCCATCTATTGCGTCCTTAGATCTTGGTAGCCACAATCACAAGGGGAAAAAAACAAAACCCTGATAGTTAATAACATTAATTCTGTTCCATAGAATTTGATAGATAATAACATAATTGTGTTTTCCTTTATATAAAGTCTTTAAAACATTGTAAATTAATATATCCCCAGATCTGCCTTTCCTATTTTTAGCTTGTTCTTTGCTTTTTCAGCTTCTCAGATATTGCTAACAAAGATTGTACACAGTCTGGACAAAGATTGTACAAAGATTGTTCGGTTTCCCAACTGAGATATGGTTCACCTTCAAGATCAAGGAAAATTGAAATTGAACAGTACCTATTTCTCCCAATTTACTTGCTTTAATCACAGCCCCCCTATTTCTTTTGCTTTGTTTATTTATTCATTCCTTCATTTTCATCTGCAATGCAAATATGCCTTTCCAGTCTCTTGTCTTTTTATATCATTACTATGGCTCTGCAAATGCTGGTGAGAATGGGTTACAAGTTACAAGCAAGGTTACAGGCAAGACAGACTCTGAATCAGAATAGGTAGCTCTTGTCTTATGACTACAATTGAGCCCAAAATTGATGTTGCTAAGTGAGAAATTTGTAAAGTGAGTTTTGCCCCACTTTATGACTTTTCTTGTCACATTTATATTTTTTTATTTTTATTTTATTAGTCATATTTCTATGCCGCCCACTCTCCGAGGACTCTGGGCGGTTTACATCAAAGACAGTATACTAAATAGCATATTGCCCCCAACAATCTGGGTCCTCATTTTACCCACGTCGGAAGGATGGAAGGCTGAGTCAACCTTGAGCCGGTGAGATTTGATCCGCTGATCTGCTGAACTAGCAGTCAGCTGAAGTAGCTGCAGTACAGCACTCTAACCACTGCGCCACCTTGGCTCTTTTTATTAGTTTTATTAACTAAAGCACTACAGCTGTTAAATTAGTAACACGGTTGTTAAATGACTCTGGTTTTCCCCATCGACTTTGCTTGTCAGAAAGTTGCAAAAAGTGATCACATGACCCCAGGACACTGCAACCGTCATAAATATGAGTCAGTTGTCAAGCATCCGAATATAAATCACATGTGCAATGGTCATAAGTGTGGAAAATGGTCATAAGTCACTTTCTTCAGTGCCGTTGTAACTTTGAACGGTCACTAAACAAACTGTTGTAAATCGAGGACTATCTGTACTACAGTAATATAGACATCCAGGGATATGAAAGTACAATCTCTAATAGTTGAATAGTTGAAATTTAGTTAAATCATCCCTGGGAAATATGATCTTTCACACAATTTACTCTCCCAAACTATTACAGAAAATTTTCCCATGCACTCTTTAATATTCTCTCTTCATCAATTCTTTAGAATAAATATAACAACAGTCCCTCAGTAAAATCTTTGACTATGTGGAATAGTAACATTGGGTCATGTCTTTCTGTACTGTCTTCTTCCATAGGGTCCATGACAAATTGTAGCCTCATGAGTACAAACACTTCCAGGTGCTGTGGACAATTTTTATATAACTTGTTTGCTTTCTGCCAAAGAATCTAAATCCTGTGGCTACAACCCAAATTGTGTTTGGGAGATTTCTCTTTGGAGGAGCAAAAAGATAGATAACAGCAATCTTCCATTTCATTATTGTATAGTATTGCACTTTACATTGATTTTACATAATTCTATCTAACCATCTATGTCAGGGGTGTCAAACTGGATTTCTTTGAGGGCCGGATCAGCATTGTAGTTCTCTGCGGGCTGGCAGGAGGGTGGGGTGGGGGAGGAGGATGGATGCCTCCTGCAGCATCCTGCTGGCCAAAATACGGGGGGGTCTGCGCACGGTTGCAGGAGCCTCCATGGCCTCCTGCAGTACTCTGCCAGCCGTTTTCTGGCCCGTTTTTGGTTGGCAGAGTGCTGCAGGAGGCCATGGAGGATGAAAATGAGGCACGGGGGGTGGGGCGCACACAGCCCATTTTAGCTGCCAGAGACACCGCAGGCCGGTCCTTTGATATTTCCAGGCTGGCCACGTGGGCCAGATTTAAGCACCCCCAGGCTGGATCTGCCTTCAGTTTGACACCCCTGATCTATGTGATCACAAAGCATTAACACCAACTTGATAGCACATAATCAATACATCAATCAATGTAACCAATATTTTTCTCAATTCCTTTTTATTTGAAACAATTGGATTAATCTTTGGTCCTGGGTAAAGTTGATTGATCATCCTTTCAGGTTTATTCTGTTTTAATAT